GGAAGAGAAGGAGAAGATAAGGAGAAGGAGCTGAGGAGGAAGAGAAGGAGCTGAGGAGGAAGAGAAGATGAGAAGGAGATGAGGAGAAAGATAAGGAGAAGAAGATGAGAGGAGGAGGAGGAAGAGAAGGAGATGAAAAAGAGAAGGAGATGAGAAGGAGGAGGAAGAGAAGGACAAGGAAGAGGAGTAGAAGGAGAACTGATCAAAGCCACTGAGATTTACAGATAGTTAGAAAAAAAATCTGTGGGTTTTCTCAAAGATATTTCTCCAAGAGGCATAAGCACTGCAATATTTGCAATCAAACGATGCCTCCTCAAATAAACGAACAGGCAAGGAACAGAGCTGGCCAAGAATCTGAGCGTACCTTTTGGTTCACCTGTTCTTTGAGCATTTGAATTCATGAGGAGGTAAAAAGCCCAGATCGCTCGTGCTCCTGCTTCAACCTCTGGCGCTGTATTCACCATCATGCTCACCGTAGTGCCAGCCAGGAGACGGTTATCTTTGCAGGCGGTCTAAAACCAATAGCCAAGAGGTCAGTCCCTAAGCCAGGATTCTATTTTAATGGCGGTTTGTTTTCTGACAAAATGATGCAGTTCAAGGTTCTCATCGTTTCGTGACAGTCTTCTCCCAGCCCATAGCTCTCAGACGGGGATTATTTTGGAAATCCCCCATAAAATTCCCTCCCTTCTGATTTGTATGTTCTGCAAAATTGGGGTCTCCTAAAAACTTGCAGATCCTGATTTCAACATGGCGTAAATGATGCCAGCCAGAAATAGGAGAACGGGGGGAAAAAAGAGAGAGAGAGAAGTTTTCCTTTTTCTCATGGAACTCCAAAACCTACCTACCTTCTTTCATGACCTTCTCAGATGCTGAACAATGGAAGATTCAGGATAGATTAAAAAAAAAAAACCTTGAGAACTTTAGTCACATGGGACTACAAAAAATAATCTATTTCTCTTCCCAGGATATTGTAGGAGAAAAAAATGGCAGAATCTGGGGTGGAGTTAAAAGAGGCATCAACCTAGAATCCTTAAGTAGCCACAAACAAAGTCCATCCTCCCTTGAATTCCATCTATCTCCTATCACATTCCAATGCTTAGTCGAGAAGATTCCTGCACATAACCTGTTTAGCAACCGACCCGTTTAATTGGTCCTTAATGTGTAGACCTGGTCTTTCGCACCTGATAGATAACCTCACCTGATCCGTGATGGTATGCACCAGGGATCTCAAGATCTTTTGCAGCATTTCTCTGTGATCCGTTTCCTCCCAGACAAGAGGCTGGATTTCCTCTGACATCCCTTTGAAGAGATGCAAGCAAACCTGAAGAAGGAGACAAGAAGGAGGTGGGACACATAGGGCGTGTCAAATTTGTCAACACTCCCATTTCCAAACAATTCTGACTTGCCTTGGGGATTGTAAACATATTTTGGTTACTCCAATATAATTTAGATGTGCTTGCTAAGTAACAACATAAATATCCAAACTTTTTAAACACTTTGTTTCGTTTGGACAGACGTTTGTCTGAAATGGTATAGGGTAGTGGTGGCTAACCTTTTTGGGCTCCTGTGCCACAAATGGTGCACG